ATATTACATGTTGACATGTGCCAGCCAGCTGAGTTAACATTAAATATTTCAGCTGCGATGGAGCTGTTTCCTGATCTGACAGGTGGATGGGATAAGATCTTCGGCATGCTCTTCCTACTACATAGTTGTCATGTCTGAACATGTGCCAACCAGCTAACCTAACATCAAACCTTTCAGCTGCTATATAGCTGACTCCGTATCTAACCCATGTGCGTCGACGTATGCGTCCAATGAAATTAGAAAACGTGACTACGAGATATCATACATTTGGCAGTGTACGCGGATAGACATCCGCTAAACCCAAACCCGAGCCCAAGCCCGAACTCAACGTTCAACGTTCAAGCGCATACGTCTCTCCATGTTCCAACCATTCCAAAGCATCGCGTGCTTGGCGGACCAGCCCCAGATCGTGATCAAGCGACATCGAAAGTCCACTCGGCGCATGCCCATATCCATAACCAGCAGCACCCTCATGCGCAGGGGGCGCGAGCGAATGCGATTGATGACCATGGTAGTGATGGTGCATCGTCCCACCCGCCGTCCAGCTGCCGTACACACCCCACCTCCACCTGTGCCGACGCTCGGCGAGCGAGCAGATGGTCGCCCGGGCCAGGGCACCCCACCACCAGCTGTACTGCGTGTGGCCGACGTCGCGCTAAAGCTCGTCCCAGCACCACTACTTCCCGCACCATACGGATGGTGTCCATGCCCACCCCCACTCCCACTCCGTTCACACAACCGCTTCAACGTGCCTATGATCCCCACCTCTACCTCCCCGGGTTCGCCTTGGCCAGCACCAGCACACACGCCAGCGCGGGCCTGCGTACCGCCGCCGTCGACTCCGCGAGGTACGCTTGGAGGGCAGTGAGCAGGCCGGGGTGGCGCAGCATGAGGTCCTCGCCTAGTCCGTCAAGGAGGAAGGGCAAGGCGAAGGCGGTCGATATTGATGGTGATGTCGAGATGACGGATGGACAGTCTCAGAGGAAGAAGAATGGCTCGGTCGATGGGCAAGGTATGTCATCCCTTCAGCGGTTTTCATTCTTTAAGTCGTTTTGTCCCTTTCTTCCCCGACGCTGTTTTATCGTTACCCATCGTCTTCCCTTTATGCCCATCGTCGGTTAATCTTCGTACTTTCTTCCTATATCTATCTTCCTTTCATCATCTTCGTACTTATCTTACTCTTCCTCAGCCCAGCGATCGGGCTCCTCCAACCCGGTATTTCGTCTGCTCCATCCAGAAGATCAGCCTACAAGGACCCAAAACATCACTCCTCCGAACTGCGACCACCGGACCCAGGACTACAACCCTCCAACGACTCAAATGATGGGCGGTCAACCTCTCTTGCGCCTGATTTCGATGTGGAGCCACCTCCAGCAACGGAAGATCGCATGCCGCCCAAGATGCGGAAGAACTGGATGCACCGGGAGGTCGAGGCGATGAAGGGCATGGGGTCGCCTGGTAGTGCTGATAGCCCTGGCGAGGGTGGGCACGCGAACGGGTTCGGGAATGACAAGGTGGGTGAGGTGAGGTGAGGTGTAACCCGGCATGGTCCATTTCTGAACACCGGGGTCCAAGACTACTCCAGCGCGACAATAAGCTACACTGCACCCTCGTCTCGGACCCGTGCATCGCTCCTCGACGAGCTATTCATGTTTCAGAACGTCTATCTCAGAGGCAATACACGGGTTGTAGGTGGGATTGCGGTTTCAAATCAGCTATAATACTTATGTTAAGAGAGCCCATTTTCCCCTGAATTATTTAAATGACCCATAAGATGTATCTGTGCAGACTGAATAAAAAATCATTGCAAATACCCGGCTCAAATTTAGCATCAGTAGCACAATTTCGTGCTGAAAATATCCCGAGCGACGAGTCGCTTCGAGTACTTATAGGCAGATGCCAACGGTTTCTCAGTATCAAAATAATAAGTATTTTTGGAGAGATTTATGGCTGCTATATGCATGTCAACGGGGCGTGAGTCAGACTTCCCTGAGTGCTGCCGCTGTGACACAGGGGCAGGGAGCAAGGGCATGGCTTTCCTCAGGAAATGCTGGCTCGCAATCGTAGTGATACAGAATGCCGGGACGTGAGTCTGCTACCAGGTCTATTGTAGCTCTATACAACCTTCATTTATTCGTGAATCGGGTCGCAGGGGAGGGCTTTGGTATCTCTAGGTGATAGCCACTGGCCAGGGTGCATGTTCTGGGAATCGCTCCCAGGAATCAGAATTATATTACCAGCGGCCAGGCGCAGAAAAGACGAGGAACGCAAGATGTGTTCAAAGTCGTACTCAAGCTGTGTCTTAGCATCCAGCCGGGCCGAGCCTCCCGCCTAAGGTCCACGAAAGGCAGCCGTCGGGCGTCGTGCGTGTCGTGGAGGGCGATCCTGGGTCTTCAACGGGTCGCGGAACTGGAAATGGACTCGTAAAAGGCCAAGGATGTCGAAGACATGGAGAATCAAACCGCGAGAGGTGAAAGGGGGGTGGATGCATCGGCAGGGAAGTGGATGACGACCTCAGTCCGTCAGTGCACCTCCGACTCTTCAGGTGCGAGGAAGCCGTATATCTTGAACGTAAAGGGATGACATATTCTGATAAATAGAGATACGGTGCAGGAACACTATAAGGTCAGCCAGGAAGCGGCGGCGGCGGCTATGGCGACACTGGAGTCTGTCAGGAAGCGGCAGCGGCGGCTGCGGCTATGACTAGGACTGGGTTCATTGTCAGGAAGCGGCGGCGGCACTGAGGCGGCGGCGGCTATGACATGGGGAAGGGCTGGGATATTGGGCCATCGTCGTCGTGATGGCGTAGAGGGAATATCTCATCTTACACGAGCTGTACCTGAGGAATGTTGCGATGTTTCTTGAGGGTGGCGATGGAGATGGTGGGATTGGGCATCCGGTTCGGGTCCGAGGGCGTTGAATTATAATATGGTATGCGTTCGTCGTTCCATTTTCTTTCCGTGACATTTATTCCTTTTTTCTTTCTTTCTTTTTCTTCTTAGATGAACACAAACTTATGCCGCCGCCACCTATGCCCGCTTCTTTGGACCCAACGACGATCTCCTCCACGGACGTTGCGGGTGTTCCGAGCCCACAACCTCGTTATCTTACCTCATCTCAATGCAAATTCAAACCATTGACTACCAACACCCGCATCTTTTCCTTCCATACCCACCTTTACACCCACACCCACCTCTCTACCGCCTTCAACCTCTTCTCCGGCCCAATTTTCGCCTTCTCCACTAACACCGTTCGCCAATCTCTCGTTACTCAGCCCTGCGCTCCTCAACCAAGTTCAGCAGCAGCAACAAGGTGGTGGCTCGCCCTCTTTTCCATTTCCGCCTCTATCGAGGAAGGTCGAGGAGGGCGAGAAGGAGGAGATCTTCAAGCCGAAGATCTGGGGTCCGCTGAAGGCTGGTTTGCCCACGTCGTCGTCAGCTCCTCCTCTCCGACCCTCTTCGCCTGTCTCTTCTGCGTTGAAGATGTCATCTTCTGCGAAGGATGTCGTGCGTCAGCCTTCGCCGTCGACTTTGGCACAAACGCCACACCATGAAGAGGAGGAGGATGTGAAGATGGTCGACGGAACGTCACCGCGAAGTCCAACGTCCACCAAGGTTCCTCTCCGACCAAAATCACCCTCTCAGGACCCCGATTCGGTGGCATACCTATGCCCGGCCTCGTCGTCAAAGCCCACGACTGTTTTCCCTGCCGATGGCTCTGTTCTGCCTCTCAGTCTCAACCGATTCCCTCTCGACGGATGCTCTGTCGCCAACCGAGCCCAAGGCACAGCCCAGTGAGAGCATGGACGACTATCAGTACATCTTGATCTTGCTCTTGTTGTCTCGTCTCTCGTCTCGCCCGCTCAGTCCAGTCCAGTCGTGTGTGTGCTTATTATAGTTAGGCCAAGTGCGGGAGCGAGATCGAAAAGTTCGTCCATCAGCGTCTTGACTACGAGTGAGTTTCGTCCTCCTTCATCGCGTCTTACTCGTTTTCTTACATCTATCTGCCTGTCCCTGTCCATAGGGAGAGCTACAGCGCGCCCGTGTATTATGTGAGCTATTATCCCCTGCTTTTTTCTTTCTTTGTCTTGTCCTGCTCGTTCGCTTCCGTCTACTTACCAAAACAATGTAGCGGCGCTGAGGACGAGAGCGACTATGGGGATGATGATGAGAGCGACTATAAATATAAATGCGAGAGCGACTCAACAAAGCTCGACTCCACTCCTCTTCCCCACATCCGCCTTGTCGTGCGTTCCTCTTTCGTTTTGAGTCTCGAAGCATCCATCATTAACCATTACTCCCTCATTCGTTCCTCTTCCGCGTTATAGAAGAGGCCTGCGAGCGATAACCTCCGCAAACTGTACCTCGATCAGGCGTCCCCACGACAACCCCTCTTGTTCATCCGGAAAATGATAAGAACCCTCAGAGTGCTTCGCACAAGGCCATACAGGTACGTCAGAGCCTGCTGGAGTCATCGGTGTTCCAGATTCTTTCGTCGATGCTCACTACCTACCACCCAGTTTCCGGTAGACGTACGACAAAGCGGCCAATGCAAACGCTCTGAATCTTGATGCCCGGACATTATACCCCCCCCATATTCTGATATCCGTTCTCTTCAATCACAGTCGTTAACCGTCTCGATAGGTCCGTCAAGACCTGCGTTCACTTCCTCATCCTTTTACCTCTTTTACCTTCATGCTTTATCGTTGGACATTTGATACCAATAATAAGCACTCCGGTTCTTTTAGCCATTTTCCTAGACTGATTATATGCGCTTACAGGTTGTTAAGAAGACCTATAAGATTTTCTTCAATTTTTTTCACCTTGATCCCCTTGTTATCAGATATCATCCCCTTTTTTTCTTTTACCCCAGCTATTCGTCTCGACTCTGTAGACCGTAACAGGCCCATAGGACCTGCGTCCACCATGGACAGCAGCCAAACCAAGGCTACGGCAGCTCACTTGGTCTCCACGGGATCACCGTTTGCGTCCAGGCCTAATTATGATGAAGGTTAGTTGGAAATCTCCCCCCTCTCCCTCCATCTCGGGTAACAACTCGACGCACCAAGGCCTGGGTCGGCCGTCATGCCCAGGTTACCAGAGATCCTGGCCATTGCATCGATTTGATCCGCGCCTGCCCAGCCTAGGGCGTCGGGAACGTTGCCGAACTTGTCGTCGCCCAGGAGGGCATACCTCGCAAAGGACTCTGGCAGGTACGAGATGCTGCCAAAGCCCATGACGACCGTCTTGCCGTGCTCGTCGACGCCGAAGTGGGTGGGGTGCACATTTGCCTGCGTGCAGATGAGCCTCTCGTCCGCGACGGTGGCGCGTTTGACGCCTTCGCCACCGTTGTAGAGCCTTCTGCGCCCCTGTTGCCGCATCTCACGTTAGTGGACGGTGCATGTGCGACGAGACATGGGCACCGGACATACCTTATCCATGTAGCGCTTGAGGGCTTGGACACTCACGTATGGCTCGGGTGTTTCTCCGTCCGCGAAGAAGCTGTGGCGGATACACCCACCTCCCAGCGGTCCCAGAAGGTGGCCAGGAGGAGCTGGCACCGTTGCAAGCCACTTGATGGCATCTACGATCCTCGTGTCGAGGTTGGGAGGGGATTCCACGAGCTTGACGAGCTCCATAACGACATATGTCGTGCCCTGTAGTCAGTGGCTGGTCAGCTCGGGGGTGCGAGGCTTGTCGGGGCCGCCTTCGGCAGTCGATAGGCGCATTGATAGGTGCGACCGTGTTTCGATCTGGGAGACCATGGCCTTGGAGTCGCCGTATTTGACATATTTGGATCCGACGGGGATGCAGCCCGTGTTGCGCCCACGCGTGGCTGCGTCTGCTCGACATGCCGCTA